CAACAGGCATGTTGATGTGTTCCGCGACAAAGTGCAGTGGATCCATGCTTTGAGGCGGCCTGAATCACTGGAGAGAAGCCAATCACCTTGCGAGAGTAGTAGTGAGTGCGTGTGTAGTTCCTCGCCGTAGAGTAACGTAGAACATGCACAAGTGTAAGCTGCATGGCACCCTTCACATCTCGCTTCAGCTCGTTCTCTGCCATGATCAAGTTGCTACAGACCTTGCAAGCTGATTTCATACACCACTGCCACAGGCTATGTCTGTGAGCTAGCTACAGCAACAATATCCTCTTCATGAATGTTCAAAACTATTTTCTCGGGTCAAAATCAGCTCTCCACTGTCTACAACACAGCATGATCGCATGTGCATGGACAGGATCCGACTGCGATGCAGCTCTCCTGGAAGGAAGCAAAGTTCTCCTGTCGCCAATGCCATCGCTTGTCAGTGTCACTCAAGAAAAAATAAATTTCAATTTCAGAAGCTACGAATTCAACGCATTCCAGTCTGCTTCCACCAAGACTACTACAGGGCATCTGATTTGACAAGGTATATCAGTAGGACTTGGAAAAGTCACAGTAACGTTTGCAAGATCACTAGCCATTACAACAAGTATCAGAACATCAAAACAAACCTCGTGTAGATCCACAATTTCACATTCAACCCATCGATCTACATTATTTTAGGTTCCCTTTCCCGCCAGCTGGACATATGCATGCATGCTCTCACCAGGCCGGGAGTCGTCAAACGCCGGTACTTGACGACTCCCTGGCTCTCACTTGTCAGCCAGCTCACACGTCTTGTCGTGCACGCGCAGACGTCCAGCACACACGCGTGTCGAAATGTGTTTTTTGGCGGGTAGTCGGCAAAAAATTAAGTGAGGGTCCCTTTAGTCCTTCGCATCCATGATCTTCACATCACGTTTCCATGGTTTCTTTTCCCTATCGCCAAAAAATCACGATTTTCTTTCGATCCCGTGATTTGCGACTTCTCGATTATTCCTGAAAATGTCGGATGGGCACGAGTACCATTGCGCAACGGACATTACTCAACGCAAAGATACGTGCAAGTGGGACTGACTGTGTACAGAATCACGCCGCCGCACATTCACAGCCGTGCATCTTGTAAAAAGAGAAAGCGAACACAGAAACTGTGTCAAACACCGCACACGTGTGTTCTTTTTGGTTTGTAACTTCGGCAGGCCTTTTCTCTCCCCGAAATCATGGCATTCTGGACCCTAGCCGTTCGTAGCCGCCTTGCCACAAGGCACCTTCAGCCTGGAGCTTGCACTAGATGGAGGTAGGAATTGATGCATTGGTTTTGGGATATCGGTATCAGCCAGCACTTTTACTTTAGAACACTAAATTGCTTCTCTTTACATTGGCAATATTTCCCTCGATCCTCTTGCTCCATTTTGGGTATTTTAGCTCCGGTGGTAACATCCAGGGATATGTCATCGGCATTGATCTGGGAACTACCAATAGCTGTGTGTCAGTCATGGAGGGACAACAGCCAAAGGTCATTGAGAACGCTGAGGGAGCTCGTACTACACCATCAGTAGTTGCATTCTCCAAGGACAAGAATGAGCGTTTGGTTGGACAGGCTGCCCGCCGACAGGTAGGTCGTAAAATTAAATGTTGGTAGCTTGGAGAAAAGTAGAAAAGGTTGGATCATTTTTCAAAATGAACTCCTAGTCAGCTGTGGATTTATGTAGAGATAAGTTATGAGAGCATGCATCAATTCCTGTTTATAAAATATGCATCAACAACACTTTTTTAATTTAATTTAAACTCAATATTTTAACTGGAGCATATCGATATAGTCCTATGTAACAAACCCGGTAAATCAGTCTCTGTATGTTTCGGGTTAATGGGACTGTGTCTGCTCTGCTACTTCATGCTCACATGCGGGAGTAGAAGTAGATTTGAAATTTGATAGAGATCACCTGGATTTTTGTGTGTAGTTTATGAAGACACCTTTTGTTGATTTGTCGGCATAAAGTGAAGCTTTACTACGGAAGTTACGCTTTCGTGCAAATTATTAGTGGGAGAAAATGTACACATTTGCAGAGGTCAACTACAATCAATAAAGGAATTCCACCTCCCCCACATGCGGTCTCTGGCCGACCTCATCAGCAACATGACTCTCAAGTTTTAGACACTGACAAATAAAATTTCCTCCATACACTGCTGTTTCGACCACAAAGGTCTCATCAGTGAAGGTTGAGAATAATGAATGCTGTAGAATTACTTGGTCCGTTTCATCGCAATTGTCACTTATCTATCGCAACTAAGAACAGGAGTTATTTTATCGCTCTGTAAAATTTCCAATACGCATAGCGAAGAAGCATGATACAGGATTCCTGTCCGCCACAAGAAAAATAATTCAGCGATGGAATCTGATGAAGCAAGTCGAAGAAAGGAAGCAAGGTTACAAAAAATGTACAAAAGAAAACAGCGATGGAGCGCGTTCTTGCACTTACGCTTTAGTTTATCCGACTCTGGCCCTGTATCACTCGAGCTGATGTCACTTGAGCTGACATTCGCTGGTGTGTATAGCTGCTGGCGTAGAGTATCTCTTGCTTTCTCCGCTTGGCGTATGGCAGCGGCGTATGGGAAAGGAACAGTCGTGGCTGTCACTTTGGCACTTGGAGGAACGTGGGCAGCGTCACAGTGGGCAGCGTGACCCGTGTGTCACCACTTTGTGTTTCAACAATGTTTTTGAATCAGGCACACATCCCTCTCCAGACAGCTGTCATACGCTCTGCTGGATACGCTGACCACGACTCTTGTACTGCCGCTGCCAGGTCGGACAATGTCTTCTTTGCCACCATCTCGCCATCAGTTTGCAGGCTTGCAAAGAATGCCAGGTCTTCCCTTGCTACAGTTCCGGTCTTCGAGCTGCGCTTGGCTTTTCGCTGCAGTGGATGTGTGCATTCACTGCAGTGCATTCACTGCAGCGAAAAAAGTTCCCCACTTTCCCATCACAATCGTACGAATCGCGATGCCACTGGCGCTAGTCGCGATGATTTTTTCTTTCTGGTCTCCTTTGATCTTGCCATCACAACCTCCCAAACGAATGTGAGTTAGATGTCGAGATCGGGCTGGGTTTTACCTGTCAAAAGGTGCGTGGGAGATAGGCGACAATTGCGATGAAGCGGACCAAGTAATTTAAATATTCGACTAGAAGACACTCTTTTGTCTTCTTACATGTATTTTTTCCTTACCTTTTAGATTGTTTTCGCATCGTCTCCATCGCTTACATTGTTTAATAAAGTACCGTATTTTCCGGTTGTAAGTCGACCTTTTACCACTAAAAATAGAAGGAGAAGGGGTGGGGTCGACTTGTAACCGGGAACTATCAGAATCTTACAAAAAATGACCTGCCCTGCATGCATGAGTGGACCATGTGTACACATGTTTGCCAGTTTGTTGGCCTTTTTCAAGGATTGGGACGTTATCCCCTCCAATAAGGAATGTTTACATGATTTGTTGATGTGTTAGTAGCAGGGAGTGGTTGGTAGTGCTTCGTTGGGTGAAAACTTTAAATTGCAGAATTGAGACCTCCGGATACGGGGGTCGACCTATAACCGGGGTCGACTTACAACCGGTAAAATACGGTAATCCAAATGTCACTTCAGCTTGCCCTCCTCATTGCCATTATTAGAATTAATTTATTGATAAACAGGCCGAAAGCGGCTGCTTACTTATTTGTCAACTACAGTCCGCTCATAAAAAGATCAGCGCTGCTGGCTTCTGGCAAGCTCCCGTATTTGGTGATTTTGTTGTGATTTTATTGTGCACGGTGCAGTGCCACGAAATTTGAAAGTTCAAAAAGGTCCAAAAAAGGTACCTCAACTGGGGTTCAAACCGCACAATGTACTCTTGCAAGTAGAGTGAATCGACCTGGATTTTCATGCTTTTCCAAAAAAACTCAAAATTTGACCCATTTATGGCCAAAAGCTAGGATATCATCTTTTTATTAATGGGCTGTACGGTTACATATCCAGAGGACCAAGTCCTACCCTGCATGGATCTGCTAACTCTAGTGATCATTACGAGAATGTCAAAATCGATCAGTTGTGACTGGCTATGGCCGAGCTGTCAGCGTGCTTCGTCTCCTCGCTGTTAATTCTGTTAACTCTCTTGTCACTGTCGTACTTTACCAGGCCGTCACCAACCCAAAGCGCACATTCTATGCCACTAAGCGTTACATTGGTCGTCGGTTTGATGACAAGGAAGTTCAGAAGGACTTGTAAGTTGACAGTGGAACCTCCGGAGAACTTGGAGTGTATTTAGTCTGTTCTATAAAATCAGTTCACATCACTTCACTGCCCCTTTCACGTTAAACCGATGTAGACTGAACAGTGTCAGTGAACATATATTCCCTGTTTCCCTCATTATTATCCATGTGATTTTCAAGTTTGCAAAGTTGTTTTCTTGGGTGGTGTTCGTGTGACACAAGATTGTTATGGACAAATTACTGTTTCATGGCTTGACAGGGTTGCCATCACTTTGTGTTCTGGTTGCTTGTGTTGTGTGTTCAGGAAAGCAGTGTCATACGACTTGGTCAAGGCCAAGAACGGTGATGCCTGGATGAAGTGTGATGACAAGCAGTACTCGCCTAGTCAAATTGGAGCGTTTGTTCTCATCAAGATGAAGGAAACTGCTGGTATGTGCTTGCTTAATACACCCGTCTACAAAGCAGATCCTTTTGGAACTATAGTGTCGGTGTTGGGTTGCATTGGAGGGTGAATAACTAGCCACCCAATTCACAAATTTGAATTTAAATTTTGTTGTAAGCATCATGCGAAGGCTGTTACTTGGGTTTCTTGGAGCAGGCTCTTTTCCTGTCTTCACTGTCAACAAGTGGTGTGTCATGGCTTTCATTGCCATCGATGTTTGCACAAAAAAATCAAGGTTCGTGGCCGACTCGGCTGGAGACACACCTAGTGACTAAGTGTACTAAATTCTGTTCTTTTATAATTATGCGTTTGTGCAGAGGCTTACCTTGGCACTAAGGTCAACCATGCCGTTGTGACTGTTCCCGCATATTTCAACGACTCCCAGCGTCAGGTTAGTTTCCATTTCTTTATCTAGTCTACTTCGTGCTTGGTCCTTCGAATTCAAATAGGTTGTGGGGTGGTTTAGTTTTGCGCGAAGTCACTGGAGACCTTTTGCACTTGCATGCTACTGAGGTGAGCACAAGCTGGATATTGTTTAGACTTATAAGTGCTCTTTGGAAAGCCCCCTTTGTCCGAGTGCTTCTTTTTATTGCCGGCTGCTTCGAGTGGAGTTCGTATTGTATTGCTTCATACGGGAATGCAAATGGTCTCCAGTATCTGCGTGACTATATTTCCCTAGTGATAAGGCTTGATCTATGGTTGTTATGGCATTGCATCTTCTCCATACAACTACCGGACTGCAGGTAGTTTAGCAGTCCGCAGTTAAGATTAATTTGACGACTCGCCCCTCATTTCTGTTTCGTGTGCATACTCAGGCCACCAAGGATGCTGGTCAGATTGCTGGTCTGCAGGTGGAGCGTGTTATCAACGAGCCCACAGCTGCCGCCATGGCTTACGGTTTGACCAAGGAAGAAGACCAGGTGTAAGTTAATACATAACAATCTGCTGTGCACCGTGCAGGGCACGTGAGAAACATTATGAGCTTCCCAAGCACATGGTCCTGAGTTGGCTGAAATGCGCTGGATAAAGCCAGGCCAGGGAGCTCCACCGTACGTTATGTGGTCAGTGGACATAAGCAAGCGGATCATGACTTGCCGACTGACAACTCCCACACACTTGTGTTTAATGGATGCACATATAGATACACCACCCAGCAGCTTGTTGAGACATGACTCTAAGTGATACTGTAAGACCTGCTGATTACTGACACATGACTGAAGTAAGAGATCAGACCACAACAGAATGGTGAAAAGCGGTTGACCTGATACAGAAAATGGCGATAAGCCAAATCCGCGGGTTTCCATGTGATAGTTCAACTCGGTGAGCCAATTAAATTATTGTGAAAAAGGAGAAGGACAAAATGTTACGAGTTATGACTAACTGTCCACCAACATAACCAGATCTTATACAGTCAGCGGGTGCGACAAAATGGCACAAAACTGACAAGGAGTACTGAGACATTCGGCGACCTGACACCTAGCTCCAACACTTCTCCAAGGCGCAAACCAACAACCTTCCAACTTGGAAGGCTCAGGTTCGGAAAGATCCAAGAGGGGAAGGAAAGCGCAACGAAGAAGAGCACGAGCTACGCATCACGGTGATAGTGTTGGGATAAGTTCACGTATCGTTATGAGCTACATGTACATGTGGTTGGCTCTGACTGATCTCTATTTGTACTATGCTTTGTTGTTTCAGTATCGCCGTCTACGACTTGGGTGGTGGTACTTTCGATGTGTCCATTCTTGAGCTTTCCAAGGGTGTATTTGAGGTAAGGAATTGTGGGGATTGTCAGAGAAATTCTACAATGTAGTACCACATGTCAGTCTCTACTGATCTGAGTTTGTTGACAACAATTTATAATCATCAATATCATCTCTTGTTCCATTATCTTGACTTCATCACTAACATTTATGTTCACTTCCCTGACTGATCTTTGAATTTGACCAATCCTTTCAAAAAATTATCGCTAACAGCGCTGCATTTTCCCTGTGTGCCTGCTGTAGGTCAAGTCAACCAACGGTGATACTTTCCTTGGTGGTGAAGACTTTGACTTAGCTCTTCTCAAGCACCTTACAACTGAGTTCCAAAAGCAGGTAAGGTTGGACTGCGGTCAGCCTCGCTGTAGTAATCAAATATGGCAGTATGTGGTTGCTCTGGCATGGGGGATGAGTACAACACTTGTCTTGCATCATGTGGAGCACCTTGCTGGATGCTGAGCTTGCCAATATGTCCAGCTGTTTAAGGGAACGGGATCTCTCCGTGGAGAGCGCTCTCCAAGCTGCAGGAGGTAGACTAACTCGGCTTGACATATGCGTCTACCCTGCTCCTGTCTAATAGGTTCAGGGAAGATGCGAGCTGTATTTATTATCATCATTATTATAGTATGGGAAGGTAGTGATGGTGGTGACAGTTATCTTTTTCTTTAGATACACCATGAACACCTTCATCATCTCCTTGTTTCATCACTTTGTATGTATGAACTTGTCCTTACTTTGTTCTTACTTTGTGTGTGTGTGTGTGTGTGTGTGACACTATAGGAGGGAATCGACATCACCAAGGACACCATGGCTGTCCAGCGTCTGCGTGAGGCTGCTGAGAAGGCCAAGATTGAGCTGTCTTCTTCTCTGCAGGTGAGTGCGCCCGCACACAATCCTGCATATCATTTCACGATGTGATAATTTATGGCCCCTTCCTCCTCGGCCTGCTGTAGTCTACAGTAGAGATTTGGTACATTGTATTTACCTGGTGTGTGTCATGTTATTATGATGTACCCATTGGCAGAATGTGTGTAACTACAACTTCTACAGCAGAGATGTATATTGGGGAATCAGTTCTACATGAATTCATTGGTCACATCCCATGCAAGTCACCTTCTTTTTAGTGAATTATCTGTGCTGGACATGTGCTCGATATGACATCCTGGACCTTTCATAAAGGATTTTGTTTGTAGCTTTCTGTGGTAGCAGTGCTGTGGGAACCATGCATGCTAGTGCTTGTTAATTGCAACGTTAAATGGTATCATTTGCTACTGTATGTCTATTGTCAATCCAGACTGACATCAACTTGCCATACCTTACTGCCGATGCCAACGGTCCTCGCCACATGAACCTTACCATTACCCGTGCATTCTTTGAGAACCTGACTGGAGAACTTGTCAGGCGCACCCTGGAGCCCTGCAAGAAGGCCATCAACGACGCCGGTGTCTCCAAGTCTGAGATCAAGGAAGTTCTTCTTGTTGGTGGCATGACCCGCATGCCCAAGGTATGTAGCGTGTTAGCTGCGTCGGTGTATGTATATGCCTAACGACCTTCTCGTAGGCAAGGCTGAATGTTTGCATTTGTCTGCACTCTTGCTAACTTGTATGTTTGGAGTGCACGTAGCATGTGGAATTACGGGGCTATTTTTGGAAGTAAAAGCTTGGTAGTCAGTACTAGTCACTGCTCCTGCATGCTACTAACAGTTACACTTCCATTTCATATAGTTAACTCTGCAGTTTAGCTGCAGTGTAGCTTCCTGTATTTCTCTGCACTCGCTTCACCTGGTGTTTCTTTTGTTTTCGTTCTGTGAACAGGTTCAACAAACTGTACAGGAACTGTTTGGTCGTACTCCCAACAAGTCTGTCAACCCCGATGAGGCCGTTGCAATGGGTGCCGCTGTTCAGGTATGCTCCCAGTGCTGTGTGTTCGTGTCCTGTGTCCGGCGGAGGCAGTGATCAGTTCGTTGCTGATGTTACTGTGCGCTGTTGTAGCTAATGAGCTGTAGATGATGTTATGGTGATGCGTGTAGAACTCTTGAACTGCACAATGTTAGCAGTCAGTTTAATACTCCTCTGATTGAGGTCACTGCTGCAGCTCTCTCCGCACGTACCTGGCAGTATGGCTCAACCCAAGAGTATCGCGCGCGCGTGTGTGTGTGTTTTCTGTTGTTCCTCCAGGGTGGTGTCCTCTCTGGCACCGTTTCCAACATGGTCTTGCTGGATGTCACTCCTTTGTCTCTGGGTATTGAGACTCTTGGTGGTGTATCCACGAAGCTCATCGACCGAAACACCACTATCCCCACCAAGAAAGGCCAGGTGAGTTTGCGTCTTGATGATTTGTCTGGTAACCTATTTGCCATTGGATGCTTAGATTGGGGAACTTGTCATCAAGCAGAGCGGAGCAATACATGCTCTCTTGGCTACAGATTTAGTAGCTACATTCTGTATCTGTTTCCTGAGCATGTGGCATTGTCGTTTGAAAGCTCTTTTACAATTCGTATTTCTTGTGGTCCTTTTTTCTTGAAGGTCTTCTCCACCGCAGCTGATGGCCAAACTCAGGTCGAGATCAACGTACTCCAGGGAGAGCGTGAGATGGCTAATGACAACAAATCCCTCGGAAAGTTCATGTTGGTAAGGGTGCACTGTATTTAAACATGCATACGTTCACTGCAGTACTGCTATTCTGCTCTCTCTCTCTCTCTCTCTCTCTCTCTCTCTCTCTCTCTCTCTCTCTCTCTCTCTCTCTCTCTCTCTCTCTCTCTCTCTCTCTCTCCTGCATGTGACTGGCATCACTCTGCATGAGTTGCAACTTGCAAGGGTTAAATACTTACCACCTCTTCTCTCACTATCTGCTGCTATTATTGTATTAGGTTGGAATCCCGCCCGCACCCCGTGGTGTTCCCCAGGTCGAAGTTTCCTTTGACATTGATGCCAACGGTATTGTCAACGTCTCTGCTCGCGACAAGGCCACTGGAAAGGAGCAAGCAAGTATGTGTACTGTTTAGCGTGTGCATGCTGCTTCTGCGAACATGTCATGTTTGCATGACGTACAGATGAATGTGGTGGGAGTATTGGCATGCCATCCCTTCATAGTCTCATATGCCCTCCCTCCTGCTTGCCTGCTCTGAGCCCTGGTTTGATGTGTATGAACTCTATGTTCATGTTATGCTGTGCTTGTATTATGCTGTCAGTTGTCATCCAGCCCAGCGGTGGTCTCAGCAAAGACCAGATTGCACAGATGTTGAAGGATGCCGAGGAGAACGCAGAGGTAGACAGGAAGCGCAAGGTAGGAAGCCGTTTTACTGCATGAACAGGCTTTTGTCCAAATTGGTTGGTGTAAATTTCTGTGTGTGTACCTTGTTCCTTTTTTGTTTCTTTCTTGGACTAGTGGCATTATAGTGCCTGTATTACTAAAGCTGCATGCCTCTCATTGGTGTGCCTGCAGAGCATGACATGTGTGATGTACCTGTGGTGGAGGTTGCTTTATCAAATTTATGTATGCTGTCCCCTTGCTCTGATTCCATAGGAATTTATCGAGGTTGTCAACAAGGCCGAGTCCTCTCTTCATGACATCGAGACCAAAATCAATGAGTACAAGGACCAGCTCTCAGAGGAAGAGGTAAAGGAGCTTTAGAACTTGAATCGCCTTGGAATCTAGTAATTTCAATTGATGTCGGGTCACTTTCATCAGGTATCCCGTGATGTGATCAAAACCGTGTTATTTCTCGGAGAAAGTTTGTGCTACTTGGTGCAACTATTGGTGATGCCTGCAATGTTACAGTGCTTGCGTGTGTTTTTGGGGGGGGGGGGGGGGGGGGATGAGTAATGAGTATTTTCCTCCTGCTGCTGTTCTATTGAAGTCTTACTGTATACGTCGTGTCATATGGGTTGCTCTATAGGTCAACTCCGTCAAGGAGGAGATTGAGAAGCTGCGCACGCGTCTTGCAAACAAGGACAGCGAGGATGCCGATGGCCTCAAGGCAGCCACCGACGAGCTGCAACAGAAGTCACTCAAGCTCTTTGAGATTGCATACAGAAAAGTGAGTACCACTCCTGGCAACTTGTACCCTGTAGAACTTCTGCTGTAAGAAGCACCTTTTTGGACTGTGATGCAGATTCGGGGAGAAGACATGGGTGTTTCCACAGCACTGCGCAAGGTGTATGATGTCACATACTAACGTTCTTTATATCCGGTGGAGCCAGGCTCCAGTGACCTTGAATGGGTAGTCTTCCTTGATTGTTTGCATATAGCACATAGTTAGTTATCTTGGGATGCATGAATTTGTTGTTTGTACAGTGGTGCTCTGATAAGATGTTGCCCATTGAGAATAGGAAAGTGTACTTGGAATTAAAGCTACTTCTTATCCACAATATTTCAGTATGCAGTAATACATGTACACCGGTGCTCAGAACGACCATCGTACTAAGCAAGTGTAGTGTCCCACTGCACAATACGTCAATCAATTCAGGTCTTGTCTTATTGAGTACATGTTTTCTTGTTCCTCGTTTGACAGATGAGCGGTGACAACTCCAGCAGCAGCTCAAGCAGCAGCGACTCCAGCAGCAGCAGCAGTGACAATACCACTGACACAACATCAGACTCAGACTCCTCCAACTCTGAGAAGAAGTAAAGAGATGGCAGCCAGTCACTGTACATTCAACTGTACATTCAACTCCGGGACTGACGACCGTTTCTTTATTTTCTTTACAACAAACAAACTTGTATATATCACATGAAACTCTTTTGCGGTGCTTTTTTTTATATAATTGAATCCTTCGATTTCTGGTTTTATGTCACAAGAATACATGCTGAGTTAACTGTAGATCTGCTGGCGCATTTTGTACTCTAGGTTAGGGCCATTTGAGGTGTAGGTTAATTGAACGCCTTGGGTAAATATCAAACATATTTTAACGGACAAAAATGAAAGCAGTGGTGTGTGATTGGGAAGATTTCAGTGACGAGTGCCTTGTGCCAGGCTCTTTTATTGTGGGATTCACAGAAGCTTTTTTGCGATGAAATACCATTCACAGAAGTCAGCAACGAGACTTCGCCTTGCTGATTTGGCGTGAAATTCAATACCGGTGAGCACGTCACCATGGTATTCGAGTGGCTTAGTACAATTTTAAAAATCTACAAACAACTTTTGAACCTTTGTACAACTTTGCAGCAGAAAAGGTCAATACCGTACGCCATATCGCTTGTCGCATCGCGCTCAAGCTCAACTTTTGCGATGACCCGGCTGCGGCAATTGTGTGAGCTGCGAGATGGGTACGATTCGGGGATTTCCCCGCTCGCGGTCGTCGCATCGCAAAAAATCTTCTGTGAATCCTGCTTTTCAAAATTTCCATCAGTGTGACCGGCCCCTGGCATGGCACTGACTCGATCGCATTGTGTAAAGAAAGGAATGTAGTTTTGTGGCAGTTTTATAAGTACTGCAGAAGCAATGAGGAATTGAGGATATGAAAATCAGATTGTGCAGCATTTGCACGTGTATAAGATCGGGAACAGGCTTATGAATTTTTTTTGCAGTGAAGTCATACGTGTACAATAGTCATGTAATTATCATTGAGGTGCATTCCAGGGCTGCATCTCCGTTCTCATCTGATGTGTCCCTTGGCCCTGGAGTACCAAACCCTCAATATAAGATAATTTTGTCCATGCAGGACCAAGGTCAAAACACAATGATGAAGCAGAAAGACACTGGCTATCCGGCATTATCGACATTTTTCACGAAACGAAAAAGTTTAGTTAGGACCTACCCCCCCCCCCCCAAACAAAAAATAGATTGACTTGATAGCTTGAGGGTACCCCATGAAAGTATGAGGCAGTGCTTCTTATACCTTGGCTTTAGTTGCAAGCCCTGTTCTTTGATGGCCCAGGGATTATGTACTGTCATGTCGTGGACACGGAAATCCGGTCGAATGACCGGGGCCGGTGCCCTCAGTGCGTACAGAACGTATGCAGTGCACCTGTTGATCGTATGCGTACTCTCGGCTGCATGGCCAGCGCCCTGGGGTCGCTTGACCTCCGACCGGATTTCCATGTCCCCGACAGTACGTCTACAAACGAGGGAGGACCTGTACTTGAACTTGGGATGTTACTGCAAACTTTCACCCCTAACTTTCACCAAGCGCAACTGAATTTATTGACGAAAACAAGGTGACAAGTTTCACAATCATTCAGGTCAGGCCCTGTGCCAGCACCCAAAGTCGACTGGGAGCTGGATTGTGCAAACTGAGAGCAACATGCCAGAAGCAATCAGCAAAGTGTTGCACATGGCAGTGAGATTCAAAGCTGAACCAAATTTCCCCTCACCACTTCAGTCGACAATGGGGCTCAGGCAACCGTCAGACAACTGCAGTGCATCTCCACACCGGGCACGGTATCCATTGACTGCACCGGGGTGGGGGACAGATCAGTCTTTGACCAGCAGTGCCAGAAAGTGCAGTGATGCTGCATCACACCGGATGATGAAGGTCGTGTGCCAGGCAGAAGGGTCAATCTTCTGGTCAGCAGCTGACAAAACTACCTGCCATTGGTGAGTCAGTCATTGCCTAAACTTCAGCCTACATTGTAAGGGTTAACCGAATTAAAATACTAGATAGACAGAGGCCTAAAATCACCACGCTCTGGCAACCATCAAGATTGTTTCCCTTTTTTCGAATCTACCTCTGAGGACGCTTCTGCAGCAGGCTCCGGCTTTTCTTGTACCGGTACTACTTCTAGCTGAGCAGATTCAGACTTCTCTGCAGATTCAGGCTGAGACGTTTCGGACTTTCCCGCTGCTTCAGGCTGAGACGTTTCGGACTTTCCCGCTGCTTCAGGCTGAGAAGATTCGGACTGTTCTGCTTCGTCCTGTGAGCTATCTGGGTAGAGATCAGGAAATCGACGTGTGCATTCGGTCATTGTCACGAACTTTTCGATGCAGTCACTGCCCTTTTGTTCTTCAGTACTGAATAGAGAAAACAGCACATGGAACACATACAACAGCTATCAAGCACAGCTAGAAAGGAAGAATGCTAAACACTCCCAACAGCATTCAAGCACAGCTAGAAAGGAAGAATGCTAAACACTCCCAACAGCATTCAAGCACAGCTAGAAAGGAAGAATGCTAAACACTCCCAACAGCATTCAAGCACAGCTAGAAAGGAAGAATGCTTAACACTCCCAACAGCATTCAAGCACAGCTAGAAAGGAAGAATGCTAAACACTCCCAACAGCATTCAAGCACAGCTAGAAAGGAAGAATGCCAAACACTCCCAACAGAAAGGTTCCTACACAAAAGTGCAATCTACTTGAGGGGGAACGGCTCAACCCAAGCCAAGAGATTAGGCTTCATCCAACTGCGCCAACAAATGCGAGACTGAAGTCTTGCAAAGTATCAAGCGAATACAGCACCTGGCTGGATTATAGTGCCCGATCCCAGGAGATGAATGAAAAAACACAGACCAGTGCTCTTGAATAGAGCGAGCCCAGTCGCTAAAGCTGCAATGCATTCTCATTCAATCTCTCAGCTTCTTGTCACTGCTGGTGTTCTGGGACTAAATCAATTTTGCTCGTGTATGGCTGTCTTCTGCTGTGTAAACATTGAACAAAAATCGAGTCCTCTCTTGAACCGTGACACCTAGCAACCCGACTGTGGATATAACGACAATTTGCGAATAACGACTGAATTTCCGTGCCCAGAGCAAAGTCCCATCTAACTGTAATACATATAATGAGACTTCGGGTATAAGGACACTTTTCTGATGCCCAGCCGAGTGTCGTTATACGCAAAGTTGACTGTAGCACTACAGGGGACACTTACAACAGGGAGGCGGAAAAGAGTGTGAACTGACCTGGCAATGAAACAACTAAACGCCGCCCGAAATTCCTCTGCACATGGGCCGTGGGGCATGTCACCAAGGCACGGGCAATCCCAGTTTATCTCTCCATTAGGCAGAACAGCACCCTCCGGTACACCATCATTAGCATCCTTGTTGTCGTCGCCGTTCTCAGCACTGGCAGGCTCAGGTAACTTGTGATCTTCCTCGGTGACAAAGATTACCCGATCTTTACCTAAACAGGCAGGACAAATCAACAGCAATGCCGTAAGCACTAGATAGAAAAAATGGCCATCGCCATAAAAATGCGTGAAATGGCATCAGGCTAAGTGGGCAGCAGTGCATCTGTCTCTACCCGCCGTGGAGAAGGCGCCGTGGTGTCCGCAACACGCATTCTGCAATACCCGTACTTGCACTCACAGGTCTAGAGAAAAACAAACTCTTGTTCCAGGGCAGCCAGTTGGATCAATTCACACAAATGCCTAGGGTGTGTTCAACAACGTCAGGCTTATTATTGTCAGCCCAGAGCTGCGCCGCTTGGAATACGATCGTTTGGTTTGTGTTAACATTGCTCAGATGCAGTCCAAATACGGTCTGGTGGTTCCGAGCATTGGGACTGGGAAGGACCAGAGCAACACTAAGTCCAAATGGTCCTTATGCACGCTGTACATATGTATGAAGTTCTGTACAGGAGTTGTAGGTGTGTACCTGCCCGATTGAGTTTTCATTGTGTGCTAAACATGCACATTTGACCAATTTAGCCCTATTATCAATGGCAAACCAACCATCGCTTTTCCAGCTTCATCACTTTGGATAGAACTAATGACTACCTAGATTTTGTCCGAAAAAGATTTAGTATGAAATGAATTCAGGTAGCTGTAAGCACAATAGGGTCTGGCACATTCAACACCCAACCGGGTCTACGGGATTCTTCGAGATTCTACGGGATTTCGTGCATCTCGCAGAATTGTGCCAAAGATCGACTCCTACCTATCTCCAACCCAGAGCGCTTCCCGTCCGGGTTGGAGTACTGCGGATATTGTCTGGTACACTGTATGGCCGGTGGCTGGCGGCCAAGGCTGAACGATTCAAGTGGCAATGCACAGTCCTCGGAATAGATACGAGCAAAGTGTTCGGCACGGTACAGAGGGGAAGATTGGTGGAAGTAATGAAACAAATAGTTAACACAGACGAGGTGCGAATGGTGGAGAATTGGAGACGGTATTGGACAATACACGGCTAAGAGTGAAGATAAAAAATGCGCTCTCGGCAGAATTCCCAACATCAATAGGCATCCCCACAAGGAGATAGTTTGTCTCCGGTGCTTTTCACGTGTTACCTCGAAGCGACAATGCGATGCCTACGTGCCAAGATATTGCCAAGACCTGCCGTGCTGAATATCGGAGGGAAGCCTACACGACTGTCGATATGTCCATACCTTGTGAAACGGCATACACTGACGACGTTAACCCTTACGCACCAACCGAGGCAGAGGCAGTGTTCAAGGAGTGGAACCTCAACCTTAACCTTACCAAGACCGAGTGGACCAATCTGTACCAGGAAGAGGATGTTTCAAGAAGAGGTGAGGAACCATGGAGGACCGTCCGGTTGCTTGGTTCACTGTACGGAGTATCAGAAGACCTCAAACACCGGCGCGAGCAAGCCGCAGCTGCCTTCAACACACTTGTCAATCTGTGGATGCGGAGACAAGTCATCTCTGAAGCAACCAGCCTGAGATTGTTTCATGCATTTGCGCTATCCATTTTGACCTGAAACTGTGGCGCGTGGGTGCTTTCATCCCGGGATGGAACAGCAATGGATGCATTCCACAGAAAGCAGCTCCGCCGTCCTTTAGGGATATCATACCTGCCAATAATCTCCCACACAGACCTATGCACCCGCTGTAATGCCGAGCCAATAACTGTACTCAGCAGAAGAGCCCGGTGGAAACTGTTTGGCCATATTCTATGTTTCCCTAAACAACTCCAGCGCAGGTGAGCATGACAGCATATTTCCAGCCACAGAATCGGGGCTGGCTCGGACGCCAGCGCCTCACCCTACCGGTGGTGATAGACAACGAATTAGCCAAGGCAACGTCCATGCGCCTCCGGAGTCTAAGGACCTGGAGACACTGCGATCGGTGGCTCGGAACAGGCAGACATTTAACGATATACTCGAAGTAATCGCACAGGTCACATTGTAGAGTGCAGGTCACCTAGTGTTTTCAACAATAACTGTACTTTCAGATCATGGGAACTTGGTGCACCCCACACCCATCATTGTTGAGCATTCAATACTAGCGTGGCTTTCCCAAACAAATTTCTTTAATATCCTCTCCCATACTGTTGTACATAAGCGGCTTGCCGCGGATATGTCAACAATAACGAGAGAGCTTGGAAGCTCAGGGCCCCACGCTATGCTTTTTTGCCTTGCTCATCATGCATGTAGCGTGTCAAAGCTGTGTGGACCCTGGCTAGCGCCAGGCGATACTGAAGTAACGTCTTTTGTATAGCAACGGGATTAATATTTGGTGTTTATTTTTTATCTTTTTTTGTTTGTTTGTGTCACGCCTAGCGCCATCCCGTATCTGTCCCGTACCATCAAAGACAGCTGGCCACAAACAGCTGACCACAATAATATTTTTGTTTGTTTGTGCCATCGGCATGCCTGGCGCTATCCTGTACCTGTCCCGTTTCTGCCGATCATGGGCGTTCTGGAGTCGACGGGATGTCTGTCCTGACGTTTCCTTTGACCGGCGCTGACTCTGCCGATTACGGGTGTTCTGGAGTCGACGGGATCTCTCTTCCGACGTTTCCTGTGACCGGCGCTGACTCGACCGTTCATGCTTATTTTGGAGACGAAAGGATCTCTCTTCCAAAGTATGTTTTTGCTAACGCATCCTGTCACCTATTCGCCAACTAACGTCCATTCTAATTGCATTTCCTCGTCTCCCTATTTCTTTCCAGAAAATCTCCCTATACAGCAGAGAGTCGTATACATAATACGAGTCGTATACATAATACAACTCCATGCTATACATCTATATACGTTATAATTATTATGCTATCGGCCTACATGCGATTCCCGGGCTGGTCGACAGGCGAGCCAGCCAGCCAGTGGGATCTCGGCCTCGCACACAAATCCACACAAAACGTTACTGCACTATCGGCCTGAATGCATTCCCCCGATACACTTCGCATATATACTCATTCTCTTGATGGTACCGTACTCTTGATGGTACAGGACAGGAATATTGTGGCCAGCTGTTTGTGGCCAGCTAGCCTTTGATGGTACGGTACGGGACAGATACGGGATAGCGCCAGGCGTGACACAAACAAACAAACGAGAGAGCTTGGAAGCTCAGGGCCCTACGCTATGCTTTGTTGCTTAGCTCATCGTGCATGTTGTTAGAACTGATGGAAACATTTCCTGGGACCGGCGCTGACTCTGCCGATCACGGGCGTTCTGGAGTCGACGGGATGTCTGTCCTGACGTTTCCTGGGACCGGCGCTGACTCTGCCGATCACGGGCGTTCTAGAGTCGACGGGATCTCTCTTCCGACATTTCCTGTGACCGGCGCTGACTCGCTCGTTTACGCTTATTTTGGAGACAACGGGATCTCTCTTCCAAAGTATGTTTTTGCTGACGCATCCTATCACCTATTCGGCAACAACGTCCATTCTAACTGCATTTCCTCCTCGTCTCCCTATTTCTTTCCAGAAAATCTCCCTATACATCAGGGAGTCGTATACAGTAAAACCTGTGACTAACGACCACCCCTTGGTGCCCGGAAAAGTGGTCGTTAGTGGCAGGTGGTCTTTAGTTAGAGGTTTGCACCGCGCGACCATATATGGATCCCATTATATGATATGTATGTCAAAATGCAGATAATACAATCCCCCACCACTTGCGCACTGACATTCTTCTTTCAGATCATACAACACTTGGAGAGAGAGAAAATCAAGTTTTTTATACACCGGAAGCGATACGACCTTTTGACACGTATGTCGACTCACTGGGTTTCCAGAGCAGCGCTGGCCTGGCCAGGCAGTGCACTAGTCACTATCGACTCCATCCTCATCTGTGAGCGACTACACTGGCAACTGGTATCAGTGTGTTGATCAACTTGATCTACAGTGGAAACTCAGTCGCTCCGACTTGGATGTAGTGTAACGTAAACTGTACTGGTGTGTACCAGTACGTGATGCGGCGATGTTGCGAGTTTTCGCACCTTTCACTGTAGACATCCGCCATCGTATCCTGGCCTGTGTTCCGTACACACATGGTAGAGGGGACGGTTTCAAATAGGACACAGGTTGCAAACCGGAACGGACTCAATATTCACTTTCTCTCTTGGTATTTTCATTAGAAAACATATGTCACAGTGAGACTACGATGTGTTATACTCCGAGCCAAAATTTCATGGCTCTGCGATAACCAGAAGCGCCATATCAAGCAGGTGAGTTTTTGACGTGTTGCTTCGCACTGCGACTTGAATTTTACGACTTTCGAAAAATCAACTTCTTGTCGCAGGTAAACAGCGGCTCGCCTCTCACCAATAAAGCACCGCATACCAATCAAAACTAATGGAAGCACACACAAGGCTTATTGTTACTCTGTACTGGCCGTCGTGGAGCGATAGCAATTACCTAATTTCAGACCCAGAGTGAATTTGACGTGCACTCTAAAACGTGTCCGGTTTGGAGCCACCTCTGATTTGAACTTTTTTGAAGCGAAAAATTGGGCAACTTGGAGGCAATGGGTCAACACAAAGGAGTGGCTCAGTTCGATTGACTCTGGCCCCAGAGCAAACTTCAACATGCCAGTTTCCTTCCACAAACATATTTCGAGTGAAAAATCAACGCTGATGATCGGTTTGGGTCTATACAAATTTGGCTGTCAAAGCGTCCCGGTATCGAGCCGTCCCCTCTACAGGTGAGTACATAATACCGTAGCATGCTAGCTAGCCAGCACAGACTGACTGTCAGTGTGACCTGGTGTAGTGGTGAGTCTGGTGACTGAGCTGTGTGATTGCACTTCGCGGAGAGCCGCTCAGTCTTAGTTTCTCCTTCGAGTAGTATTTAAACATCGATCAAAAAGCGCTTTGGATGCGCTCTCCAAGACGTTTCCTATCATGTTTGTTCTTGACAGCACTTGAAATTATGACAGGTGTAGTGCAATCCACACTGATTCCACAGTAAAAATGAGACTGTGCTCATTTGTCCAGCTGTAGTATCGAAACGACCATGGAAAATCATCGAAATTTCGAGAAGGAGCTTCAAGCAATGTTTGATTTGCTACATCGCGGTCGCTAGTTACGGGTCAAAATCCGACATTGGGACAAGAAAAAGGCGGTCGCTGGTCGCGTTCAGCAGGTAGTCGCTAGTCACAGTGCATTTTGAATGTGAGACCGTCCGTGCCTGACAAAGTGGTCGGTAGTACCAGGCCGGTCGCTAGTCACAGGTTTTACTGTACATAATACGACCAAGAGTACATACGACGAATATTGTGGTTAGCTGTGTTTGATGGTACGGTACGGGACGGATACGGGAGCCAGCAACTACTGTGGCCAGCTGTTTGTGGCCAGCTATGTTTGATGGTACAGTACGGTACTAGACAGATACGGGATAGCGCCAGGCGTGACACAAACAAACAAACAAACACCAAACGAGAGAGCTTGGAAGCTCAGGGCCCTACGCTATGCTTTTTTGCTTGCTTATCATGCATGTAACGTGTCAAAGCTGTGATGGCCCTGGCTAGTGTTCTGGAGTCGAAGTTATATCTGTCCTGACGTTTCTGTGACCGGTAGGCATATGCGGATAATTCCGGCAGAAAAATTGGCAGAATTCGGTACTTTTTCGTGTAAGTTTCATGCATGTTTGGTATGTGGATAAAGAAATGGAGCAGAATTCGAGGAATTGCCCGCCATAAGGTTTGTATGGTTCTGCCAATTTCACTGCTTTTCGAGCAGAATCTGCCACCTTTTCGAGCATTATCCGCACACCCCTAGTGACCGGCGCTGACTCTGCCGATCACGGACGTTCTGGAGTCGACGGGATCTCTCTTCCGACGTTTCCTGTGACCGGCGCTGACTCGCCCGTTCAGGATTATTTTGGAGATGACGGGATCTTTCTTACAAAGTATGTTTTTGCTGACGCATCCCGTCTTTTATTCGGCAACTAAAGTCCATTCTAATAGCATTTCCTCGTCTCCCTACTTCGTATTTCTTTCCAGAAAATCTCCCTATACAGCAGGGAGTCGTTTACATAATACGAATCTCTGCTATACATTTATATACGTTATAATTATTATGCTATCGGCCTACATGCGATTCCCGGGCTGGTCGACAGGCGGCCCAGCCAGCCTGCCAGTGGGATCTCGGCCTCGCACACAAATCCACACAAGATGCTACTGCACTATTGGCCTGAATGCATTCCCCCATACACTTCGTATATATACTCATTCTCTTGATGGTACCGTACTCTTGATGGTACGGGACAGGTATGGGATAGCGCCGGGCATGCTGATGGCACAAACAAACAAATATTATTGTGGCCAGCTGTCTGTGCTGGTACGGTACGGTACAGGACAGATACGGGATAGCGCCAAGTGTGACACAAACAAACAAACAAACAAACACCAAATTAAAGCTGTGTGGACCCTGGCTAGCGCCAGACGTTACTGAAGTAACGTCTTCTGCATAGCTACGGGAATTAAAGCTGTGTGGACCCTGGCTAGCGCCAGACGTTACTGAAGTAACGTCTTCTGCATAGCTACGGGAATAAATACCAAATTAAAGCTGTGTGGACCCTGGCTAGCGCCAGACGTTACTGAAGTAACGTCTTTTGCATAGCTACGGGAATGCGGATATGTCAACAATAATAATATAATAAACGTACCTGTCCTTCAGTGGGCCAAGTTTTTAGTCAAACATGGGCACGCACACTATACTCCTGTACTGCACTATATACCCTGAAAAGTATGGTAGGGTGTCCGTTCATGTTCTTGATTGTACTTCCAAAATTTCCAGAAATTACTGCAATTTAATAGTCAAAATTATATATTACTACAATTTCGCTCTCGTGTCACAGAACAGAGTCGTATAGCGTAGAGAGATGAGATCAAAAACAACTACACTAGCACCAGTATACTCGCACGACGTTATAGTGGGAAAAGCAATAGGTGTACAAGAATCGCATTATGTTCATACGTGCTTTGCAAAAATATATAAATTTTCTGTCGTGCTCTGACAAACGCGATTACTTACCTTCTTGCCTACAGTACGACATGTTGACACTGCAGACGAGTAACTCACTCAGGCTTTACACAGAGGAACTCGACTATTTCCCAACTTTTCACAACTGATAGCTGATTTCAGACAGACTTCAAAGACACAATAGTTATTATTATAAACAAGAAGAGTCCATAATAATTGCATAATCCCTGGCCTACAGTGTTGTGGGCCTGCTCTTCGTTCTGCGCGGCCCCCGGCCCCGCCACCTTGCCCCTCATGACGTCACCACTTCTTGATTTTCAATTATGTCAATGAGGATTCTCCAGGGGCAAATGGATGCCTGTACAGCAGGGAGTATTTGACGACTCCCTGCTGTACAGTGTATCAATCTCAAACAAAGGGAGTCTCCCGGGGAAAGGAAGTGAAGCACTGAAGGTGGTTCAACGGTTATTATGAGAGCTAGAGGGAAGAAGGAACATGACAACGTGAACAAATAAAAGTACATGTAATACAAACAGGAACAGCAGAAGCTACTTGCAAGAATTTGGTATACTACTGGACTGTAAGTACCTTGCACAGAATACTTGTGGTGCAGATAGTCTACACACAGCAACAGTAAATCGGCTAGCGGATGTCAGACCAGGGAGCCCTACCCGTATAGCCATCAGGCATCAGTCAGTGGAAGTAGGCGGAGGAATCCTCATCCCACTTCAAAAGCCCTATAAACCTCTTGGACCACTGTCCAATCTCTGGCCCATTCCGGCCAGCTACTTACATCGCTCAAGAAAGCACTATCGCTCATAGCCCTGGCCAACTGATGAGTACGAGGTGATTTGGCTGTTTAACATGTGGGTAAAATGACGTTTTTTCAGCCACTTCTAGGCAAGCTTCGTCCAAATGAATTACTGCAAGTGGAAGTGCTATCCTTCATGCCCGTTGTCTCAAAAATTGGGAATAATCCCACTTTGGAAAGTGTCTTGAAGCATGCCCTACTTTCATAGTATTCTCAGGATTCAAATAATTGGCGTGTCATTTTTTAACAAAATATAATTTGTAAAATGGCATCACAAACTGGGATATTCGGTCATCAATGTTCTGAAGTTGATAGATATCACTTCAAGGATGTGCTAGTGGATGAAATTAATCTGTCAACTGCATTGTATGCTGCGAAAGCCATGTTTTTGAATTTGTAACTACCGTATTTTTCGGAGTATAGTGCGCACCCCCAATCTTCATTGGGGGTACGCACTTCAATCTTCATTGAAGTACCTGCATTTCATAGTGCGCACCTCCGATTTTCAAGTAACTTAGGGCCTAATAAAGCACATCTAAAGTGCGCACTATACTCCGGAAAATACGGTAGTGGCTGTGTCATATGGTGGAATTGGATAGGTAGAATAGCATCGCAGCAATGTTTTCGTTCTCACAGAGTGTATTCCGTCGCCTACTGTTCTTCATTATTGTCTCTAGTGATGGCAAGATGGCCTGACGTCGTCCAAAGGCCCTGCGGAAGCAATTCACTGCCCTCCTCGTCCATTCAGGGGCTTATTTTACACATTTTACACAAAATGGCAAAGCACCCACCACTATTTATACAGACGTGGCAGGGAGAATTAAATTATATGCACCAAATTTTCTGGTCAAAGTTGATCTACGATAAACTGGCTCTCATTTGCCACCACCCATGTTTCGATACAGTGTGAGAGTCGGTATGTGGGCAGAACTGTTAAGCACCTTGGCGCACGAATCCGTGAGCATGTACCGTTGAGGTTAGTCCCGGTACACGCACGTGATTCTCTGTGCCTGAAGAGCACCGCTTCTTCTCATTGTTGTCCCCAGCGCGGGCTTGCGAATTAGCTGGTTTGGGGGCAATAACGTTGTGAATGGCCAACGGTCCTCAGCGCTTGTTCAGCACCTCCATGAGCGACACTGACTCACGCTACCATCTGGTGTTCACGAGGTGTTTGTCGCGCTGGAAATAGAGCGTCTCTGTAAGTTTGTATCCCTGGTGATGTTTGTGCCAGGAGAGCACTATATAAGTGGTGCTCTTCAGGCACAATCTTCCTCAGCCTACTCAAGCTCAACTGACGAGGGTAAATTCCCCGAAACACTGTGTATTGAGCAGGGAGTGGTGCTTTTTTGCAGGTTTGCCGAGTGGAGGGTTTGATGGACTTCTCTAAGTGAAGATTACCGAACTGTACTGGGAGGGAGAGCAGAGCGATCAGCAGTAACTCGAACTACTCCCTACATGCATATGGCACACATGCATGCTTTTAAAAACCCATATCACAGGTAGCCGGGTAATTGTGCGAACCTCACCAGGGAGAGCGTTCCACAGCAGAGCACCAGCAACAGAAAATCTCCGCTGACCGCAGCGGCTATGATTTGCCTGGCTTAGGCCATTTGGCTGCTGATGGCGGATAGGGGTGCCTTGTGCCGGGGTCAGAAGCTGGGCGAGCACAGGGCTGGTGCGGGCGTGGATGCCGCGCCGGATAGTGATCAATTTGTTTTGCCTGTAATGCTGTATCTCGCTGACACGGTACAGGGAGTGAGCAGTGAGCAGCGGCTGCATGGCTGTCGCATGTCCGGGGTTGCCATCGATACAGCGAATGGCTTTGTTTTGCGCGGTTTGCAGTCGTTTCAGTTGACCCAGGTGTGGAGTCTACGTGGCTCGAACTGGGAGGGCGCCAAGAACGGCACCTCCTAGCATGTACCTACAGACCACCAGATGCCACAATCGCTTTTTGGCCCAAGCTTGAGGTTATGCTGCACCAGGCCACCCTCAGGGCGTCGACTGTCACGCTTGTTGGTGACCTGAAATGCTGAATGTGAACGTAGATCAAAGTAATCCCGGTGCATTACACAGTTTCCTCACCTCATGGATATGACATTGTGTCGCTCTTACGGTCTCCGCAACGTGGTCAATGAACCAACTAGAGTAACGCCTGGGTGCCCAGTAGGCCCAGTACCGGACCTGATTCTGGCATGCGTAAATCATACTCGCAATACAATTTCGCAACACTGATGTGTCGACGGTGGCAACTATTGTTCCTCAGACCATCAGTGACCACTTTGCAGTGTAAGCCTGTCTTCAGCTTCACGTTGAGACCCCACCACCACCATGACCACGGTCCCAGCGCCTAAGTAGGAAGCTTCACAAAGTGGACATGGAGTTGCTTCGTCAGGATTTGGCTGCCGCTCGACTTCATGAGTTTGAAAACCATGACGATGTCAACAGGATGTGGGACAAATGGTACTCTGCGTTCATGCAAGTCCTCAATTGCCATGCTCCTCTGGCATCGCCAAAGGCAACGAAGGCTTCTCTCCCTCCCTGGTCAGATAGAGAGCTGTTCCAGCTGGTAAAGACAAACAAAAAAACAGATTACACGCCCGCTGGTTGAAGGATAGAGCCAACCAGTCGCTTCATCAGGAGTATAAGCGAGCCCGATCGCAGGCAAGTAATGCTCGACGACGGAAACGAAACCAGTATTTTGCTGTGCAGTGTCAAGTAAATGCCAGAAACGCGCGGAAGACCTGGCAGTTAGTCAATGCCGTCACCGGCCGCACACGCCACAAGCAAGAGCCAACCTGCAAGGTTGATGAAGTCAGCGAGGCCTTCCATCGGATTGTCACGGATCGTGAACGTCCCAATGTTCTCTCTGTACCAAGCGGCCCTCCCACCATGGACTCGCTCCACCGCTTCGATCCAGTCTCTCCATCGGATGTCTACACGTGTCTGTTGCAAATTGATGCTTCGAAAGCAACTGGCAGTGATGGAATTCCAGGATCCATTTTGAAGGAATGTGCTGATATTTTGGCGTATTCTCTTGCCGTTTTATTCTGTGTTTCGCTCCGGACTGGTGTAGTGCCCTCGGCGTTCAAACTGGCTTCAGTCGTGCCTCTGCGCCCCTCCCTCCCCAATAATTATCGACCTGTGTCTTTACTCCCCATTATTTCAGGCCACTCCCTGCACGTGTGGTCCCATGCATGTGTACCACAAGGATCTGTGCTAGGTCCTGTTCTATTTTCCATTCACACCCGCGACGTCCCTTCCATCCTGCACCCTGTACCCAGCATCCAGTTTGCGGACGACATAGCATTGTATTTCTCGTAGAGTTCTGTTCGGGCTGTCTCTGTTACGCTTACGACGGCAGTCACCAATCTAGCTGTTTGGCTACAGGCGAGGGGCTTTGTCCTCAACCCTACCAAAAGCCGAGCTGTGACCTTTCTTCCTCACCCACAGGTGGACAACCCTCTCGTAACTGTCCAGTGTCGTGGAGTAGCCGTTCCAACAGCATCGACTACCACACACCTCGGTGTTGTACTTGATAGTAAGCTTTCATGGGACGCTCAAGTCGAGCGAATTGTCAGCATGACTACCCGTAAGATTGGTGCGCTGTGGCGAGCCCGTCGCTCCCTATCCCGATCTGCACGGCGTCTCTTCGTCCAGGCTGTTGTCATCCCTGACATAGTCTATGGCAGTAATGCCTCCTTCCCCGCGCTCCTTGGTCGCCAGCTTTATCGCCTGGGTCTGCTACAGAACAGGGCTATCCGAGCTATCAACAGCCACCCACCCTACACAACCGTGCATCCCCTACTGGTGCAGCACGCCTTGTACCGGATAGGCGAACTCAGCAAGCGCAAGCTACTAGTGTTTGTCTGGAGGTGCCTTCACGGGAAAGCTAGTACCACGTTGTCTGTACTGTTCGTCAGATCTGCTGGCAGGAGAACCCGTCATCAGAGGTCTAGTGATCTGCTCAGTCAGCCATCCTCCACTCGCTCTGGCGCTTCTCGGCCGTCCGTCGCAGGATCTGCACTCTGGAACCTGCTGCCGGATGACGTTCGGACCATAGCAAGACGGAAAAAGTTTAGCATAAGTTGCCTACCATATTGTTGCTCAGACTAGCCCTCCCCCTAGCTCCCCTCGACCACCCTGTCACCCCTTATACTCGCTTGACTCCTCTGTCAGATACTTCTTCTTTCATAATTTTCTAATTCCTGTCTTCTCTTGTCTAAATGCGGCTTATCCATTCGCTTTATATCATTGGGCCTAGTTCCCGATTTAAAATAAACCAATCAACCAACCAACCCTCTGGCATTGCGGTTGAAAAGCAGCAGGAGCCATAATTTTATAAAGCAGGTTAGGTCGGGCATTATGACCGCCTTCACATACACCTGACGAGAGCGTC